CCAAGTAAGAAGCTGCCTCTCTGACCTAGCTCTGGAAGCCACGCATCATCACAGCCACTGTTTAAGTGGATGCGAATCACCTGAATCAGGTCAGGTGAATCAGGTCAGCCCTGATTCAACGTGAGAGGGGATGGATATGCAAAGGCATGGATACCAGCAGGCAAGGACCCCCATTGTGGAGGCTGGGTAGAATGAGTGGGTCCTGAGGTTAGTGCCACGTGGGAGTGATCACTACAAAAACTTGCCACTTGGGTGGTTGTGTGAGGAAGGACTCCAACACCTGTTACGTTGTTTGTTTGAAATTAGGTCTCGCCCTGTCACCCAGGCTGCAGTGCAGTAGCACAATGAGGACTCATTGCAGCCTCAACCTTCTGGGCTTAAGCGGTCCTCCCGCTTCAGACTCCGAAGTAGCTGGGATTACAGACGTGCACCACCATGCTCATCTAATTTTTGCATTTTTTGTAGAGATGGGGTTTCACAATGTTGGCCAGGATGGTCTCAAACTCTTAAACTCAAGTGATCCACCTGCCTTGCTCTCCCAAAGTGCTGGCGATTATAGGCATGAGCCACAGTGTGCCCAGCCTTCTGTCATCTGTTTGCTCAGATCCGTATAGGGGACTTGTTCATAGGCGATGTGGACATTTGGGGACCAATGGTGACTCGTTCATAGGCGACGTGGACATTTGGGGACCAACGGTGACTCGTTCATAGGCGACGTGGACATTTGGGGACCAACGGTGACTCGTTCATAGGCGACGTGGACATTTGGGGACCAACGGTGACTCGTTCATAGGCGACGTGGACATTTGGGGACCAACGGTGACTCGTTCATAGGCGACGTGGACATTTGGGGACCAACGGTGACTCGTTCATAGGCGACGTGGACATTTGGGGACCAACGGTGACTCGTTCATAGGCGACGTGGACATTTGGGGACCAACGGTGACTCGTTCATAGGCGACGTGGACATTTGGGGACCAACGGTGACTCGTTCATAGGCGACGTGGACATTTGGGGACCAACGGTGACTCGTTCATAGGCGACGTGGACATTTGGGGACCAATGGTTATAGTTTTTAGCTACATTTGACCACACGTTTTCATTGCTGGGTTCCAATCCGATCTTCCTTGTTCTTCTGACATCTTGGGAATCTGCAGTAGATGCTTGTCATTCTGTTCTGGCTTCCCAGCATCCAACACTTGCCTAGAGGAATTTCTTATTGTGTGATTCTTGGTGGGGGCAGGACCCTGCCTGGTTCTTCACTCTGTTAGTATTTGACTGACTCTATGTGGCTCCAATAACCCTCTTGCTGTTTAAATTCGCTAACCAGTTACACCTATAATCCCAGCACTTTGGAAGGCCGAGGCAGGTGGATCACCTGTGGTCAGGAGTTCAAGACCAGGCTGGTCAACGTGGTGAAACTCCGTCTCTACTGAAAATACAAAAATTAGCCTAGCATGGTGATGCGCCCCTGTAATCCAAACTACTAAAGAGGCTGAGGCAGGAGAATCACTTGAACCTGTGAGGCGGAGGTTGCAGGAAGCCAAGATTGCACCACTATACTCCAGCCTGGGTGACAGAGCAAGACTCTATCTCAAAAAAAAAAAAAAAAAAAAAAAATGGGGAGAGAGAAAGAAAATTACTCAGTTTCTTTTGCTTCCAACCTAGAATCCTAGCTGGTTCTGAGTCTCCAGCACTTATTCTCAGACAAAGCTCTCCTGGTGCCAAAGCTATTACATCTGTGCCGCTGCTGTGGATACAGTTGTGAAGCTGAGCACAGACTTCAGAGTCAGACAGATCTAGGTTTGAGTCCCAACCCTGCCACTTTAATGCAGTGTGGCTTTCCACGAGTTATTTAACATCTCTGGACTTCCGATCCTTCCCCTGCACAATGAGGGAAGTGACATGTAGCTTGCAAGACTGCTATGAGGATCTGCACTGTGTGCCTGGCACACAGTAGGTACTTAATGGCTCCTCTTGTATAATAAAGTATGAAGACGATCATGGACACGGGCTGAAGTTTCTCCTTATGTGAACCCCACCCAGGGTTTTTTTTGCAGTGGCAAAGCTTCTCCCATTTCATGACAGGTCTTTGGAGCTGCCTTGAATGGTCTGTCCTCTCAGTACTAATTGCTCTTTAGAACCCTCAAAGCTGGTCTTACTCATAAAGTTGAATAAACTTTTTAAATAAGGAACTTGCTGTAAGTCCCCTGGGACTAGTCCAGAGCATGATTCAGAGATATACACCCCACACACACCCCCTCCTATCTGCAATGCTTTGCAAATGGAGCTTTTTTTGGCCTGCCCTGAGATCCTAGAGCATCTAAGATGGGCGTGTAACTTCAAGCCCCAGTGTGGTCCTTGCGATCTGATCTCAGGTCAGCCAGACCCTTGACCTGGCCTCGCAGCCTGACATAGCCTCACAGCTACTAGAGATACATTCCGGATGGCAAGCCACACTCTAAGACACTGCACTCCAGCGGGAGCTCTGGTTTCTCCCATCCCATCTCTGAGCTGGCAGAGCTGCTGCACAGTGTTTCAATTTTTCTAAGTTGTTCCTGAGTCTAAGGTGTTCACGGGCAGTAATTTGCAAACTCCATCCAGGTTGCTCGAAGAATTACACTCTCATACCAGTCTGGGAAAGACTCTGACCCCCACCTTCACCCCAAATCGTGACAATTGGGTGGTGGTGGCACCTATGCTGGTTATGTGGGCACTACAAATAAGTGGGCATCTGCAAGGTCAGGAAATCATCCCAACATGGAAAGAAACATCTCTTGTTCTAAGACTCCCCCCCTGAACAACCCAGTTAACCCCATAGCCCCTCGTTCACCTTTCAAAGCCCTGACTTGCCACTTAGGACATATATTTGTTACACTAGCAGCTGAGTAGCAGCTGCTAGCTTTTCCCAGCAAGAGTCTAAGCCACCTGGAGTGAAAGCCTTCTCCCACCTTGCCTGTCCTCTGCACCTGGCACCCTGCCTGAAGATGAATCAGAGCTGATGACATACTTGTCGAATGGCTGCTCCACGGATGACACAGAACACAGCTGCAGACCCTGACTACCCGACCCAAAATAGCAAACACTGTGGTCCATGGGGCTGTGGAAAGCTGAGGTGCCTCCCAGGGCCAAAGCAGATGATGAGGAAAATCGGCTGAGAGATAGGAACATACCAGTCCACAATAGCCCGAGCATTTTGTCCAGGTTGGAGCGGGAGGACACAGCCAGGCCATTCCTGATAAACAAGACACCCTACACATGCAGTAGAGCCCCCGCAAGGCTGCCGCTCAGAATGCTCCTGCAATCTCAGCTGCGATTTCAGGCCTATTGGGGTGAGGTCTCAGGTTACACCAACTCTTCGTCTTCTCAGCTTTTGATGGGAGCTGCTTCTGGACAGGGCCATCACCACCAGCCCATTAGTGTAGGAAATATTTCCCAGAGAGCGTCACCCTCCAGGAGGAGAATAACAACTGAAGGTCGATATTTCATCTGTTCCAGGACTCTTTCAGCTTAATCCTTAATCCTTCTTCCTACCCGTCGGCTCAAAGACTTACAAATCTTCCATACATTCGGTCTCCCTTTTAAGTCTAGAAACTGACCTAACAATAGTACTCCTAGCAATGTCCTTGCAGGTGGCCTGGTTTGCTCACATGTCAGTACTATGAGGCAGGGCACGGAGATTGTTCGATTTGGAGATGTACTGAGTGATAGAGAATGGAACAGCTACAACAGCTAACGCTGTACTAAACATTTTACAAATAAGTAAGCCTCGGAACAACCATAGGAAGCGGGAAATGTCACTATCACCAGTTTCAGAGCAGCAAACTGAGGCTTAGAGGTGTTAAGAAACTTCCACAGGGCCGGGCGCAGTGGCTCAAGCCTGTAACCCCAGCACTCTGGGAGGCCGAGGCCGGTGGATCATGAGGTCAACAGATCAAGACCCTCCTGGTCAACATGGTGAAACCCCGTCTCTACTAAAATTACAAAAAATTAGCTGGGCACGGTGGCGCATGCCTGTAATCCCAGCTACTCTGGAGGCTGAGGCAGGAGAATTGCCTGAACCCAGGGGGCAGAGGTTGCAGTGAGCCGAGATCGCGCCATTGCACTCCAGCCTGGGTAACAAGAGCAAAACTCCATCTCAAAAAAAAAAAGAAAGAAAGAAAAAAAAGAAACTTCCACAGTCACCCAACTGGGAAGTGGTAAGACCAGGATTCAAACCCAGGAAGGTTTGTCTTCAAAGCACAGACTCCCAACGCTCATAGTCCACTTCTGTCCACATCTTTATGAAATATCAAGCACTGTGCTACCTTCTGGAAACACAGGGACAATTAAGGTCACAATACTTGAGATCTCAGCCTAGCCAAAGAAACAAACATTAGCATACTTTTTAACTCTATATGACAGTGTGATATTTGTAATAATTAAAATTAGATGTAGGAATGGAAGGATGGTGATTAATTCCGTCAGTAAGGGAGGAAGAGAAATTAGGGAAGGCGTCACAGAGGAACATTCAAAAAATGAAACTTTATGATTCCATTTCTTTACAATTTGGAGTGTGTGATCGTTAGCCATCATCTGTCCACACTGGCATCTACTGAGTGAGTCATCCACCATCTGGGAAAAACCCAGGCAAAAGGGTCCCCTTCTCTGAGCCCACAGTTTATAGTCTCACAGATCACAAACCCAAAATAGATTAATATATTAAAGAACCTGAGAGCATTTGTGCCACTCAGGATCCAGAACTCAGCATTGGCACAGCACAGCAATAACCCTCAACACCACCTGGATGAGTAAAACCATCCAGGCCCCAGAGAAACACTTCTCCACATCTCCTGTCCTGTGTCTGGGGATCAGAAGAAACCCTGTCCAAATCCCATCCATGAAGATCTGTGGGTTGTGCCACTGCCAGCATTGGAGATGGACTCCTCCCTTTGGAGGATGGGCAGGATGTGAGCCCCAGATGAACTGAGATAAGAATTAAGGCAAATTAATTAACTTACCTTGTTCCTCCTCATAGACTGCGTGAATGCACAGATTCACGCAAAGTGAAGTATCTTTTCCTGGGAGTGCTGAGTGTCTATTTCTTGCTTCTCTCAAAGCTCCAATCTGTGGTTCTGGAAGCAGTCAGAAATTAATGCAGTATTCACAATAGCTACACATGATGGCTGGAAAATATTTTGCGATATTAAACACACTTTTTAAAATACTTTTAATATTAGGCCTGCAAATACACAATACTTTTAATTTTGTATCCATAACTACAAAAAGCCTGATATTAATTCTTTATGTTGGCCGCAGGCAGACCTTGAAGGCTAGAATTGTATCAATAGATAGTTTCACTTTATAAAAATGTGCCTAAAGATTTAATTACATTTTCAAAAGATTAAATAATTTTAATCTAAGTAATATTGATTTTTAAAGTTGATATAAATTTATTGTTATATTTTTGTCTTTTAATTTCAATAGATTGCTTTGCATATTTTATTTGCATGAAAATTCAGTCATAGGAAAACGTGAGATGGTGCGATGAGCTGAGTGTTATATGTCTTGCCAAAAGCCATGTGTTGAAATCCTAATCCCAATGTGATGGTATTTGGAGGTGGGACCCTTGGGAGGTAATTAGGTCCTGAGGGGCAAGCCCTCAGGAATGGGATTCGTGTCCTCATAAGATGCCAGCAAGCTGGCTAGCTCTCTTTCCACCTCGTCAGGATGCAACCAGAAGTCAGGAGTCTGCCACCTGGAAGAGGGCCCTCACCAGAAACCGATGAGCTGGCACCGGGATCTCATAGTCCACTTCTGTCCAGAACAGTGAGGAACAAATGGTTGACAAGCCAGCAGTCTACGGTACTTTGCTATACAACCCAAACTGACCCAGACCCATGGGCTTACTCCCCTGTTTGGCCTCACTCACCTACCTCCCTCAGGATCCCTCCTGGGCCAGCAAATGGCAGGTTGGCCAGGGGTGGGCCTTCACCCTCGGCACCTGGCTCAGCAGGAAGCATGTGAAAGGCCCCAAGGCTAGGATGGGAGGGGCTTCGGCTGCGAGTTCTTTTCACTGCTACCACACCTACTGCTCAGGGCCTCACTCTGTCTTCTTTGACCTGGGCCTTCTGACTGTCTCCTGGTACCTAACTACTTACCCGGCTTCTTGATCTGCCTTGACCGATAGCTTCAGTCACTGACCTCTCGAGCCACGTCTTTGTCAACCTTGCTTTGGCCATCACAGCCCTTGCTTCCTCCCCACCAAGTGTTTCCTGATATTCACTGGCCTGCAATGATACAGTGAAGCAAATGTTAACATGTTTTTGAATTACATATTACAGTGCTATATTTGTAGCAATAAAAAGTATGTGTGGGAATGGATCTAAGGATGGAGATTAATTCTGTCAATCAGGGAGGAAGAGAGACTGGGGAAGCCTTCCCAGAGAAACACTTGTTAAATGGAACTGTATGATTCAAATTATTTTCTAGTTTAAGAGTGTAATCTGTAGCCATCAACCATCCACACTGGCATCTACTAAATGAGTCGTCCACCATCTGGGCAAGACCCAGGCAAAAGGGTCCCCGTCTCTGAGCCCGTGCTTTAACAGGTCTCACATATCACAAACCCAAAATTAATGTATTAAGAACATCAAGTCATATGAATATATACTTTAAAAATCAGCTCTGCCCCGTCCCCTATCCACTCCCCAAGAATATACAGGGAATGGCCTTCTTCATCACTCGTTTCATGTAAATCATTGTAGAAACTACCCTGATCTGAGCTTCACCCTCTTCCCTTCAGGATAATTCATAAAAATCATTCAGCATTGAGGAGGCTGAGGCAGGAGAATTGCCTGAACCCAGGAGGCGGAGGTTGTGGTGAGCCGAGATCGCGCCATTGCACTCCAGCCTGGGTCACAAGAGTGAAACTCCATCTCAAAAAAAAAAAAAAAATCATTCAGCATTGAAATGATCCCATTCAAACACTGTGTTTTGACAAGTGGAGAAACTGAGACACAAGGAAAGGAGACAACTTTCCCACGACCACCCAGCAAGGGATCTGAGACTATAGCCAGTCTCCAAGCTCCACACCCACATCCACACTCTGGTTCTGAAATGCCTCTTATCTGGATAATCGTGTGGCATTCCAGCAGCACCCCACCCTAATAAATCTCCCCATGACATCCTAAGGGCAGTTATTATGAATTGGGGTGGGGGCGCAGAAGTTGGATGCTGGATGTGCAAAGGAAAAGCAAGCAAGGTTGTTTCATAAATGACACAATGGCAGTCTCCAAAGTAGAGTTGCACAGCTTCCGCTGCCCTGAAAGACTGCATGCCTTTCTGGAGACTAAACATTTTCACAGTTCCTTTGGCCCAAGGGTTATTTTCTTGTTGAAAAATGGAAAAATTCCCCATACGGATGGCAAGAAAAATAATTTCAGCTGGACTAATCCAGAGACAAAGTTTCTTCTGAAACGCAAAAGGATAGAATTGGAGGGGAGCAAACATTTCTTTTAAATAAACACAGAATGCTTCTTTGTTGTGTTTTAGAGACAGAGCCTCCCTTGTTGCCCAGGCTGGAGTGCAGTGGCGTGTAGTTACGGACCACTGCAGCCTCCAAATCCCAGTGAGCCTCCTGCCTCATTGCTGGGATTGCAGGTGTGAGCCACCGTGTTCAGCCCCTAATTGGCTCATTAGAGGGATGCTGGGTCCCATAGGTCAGAAGAGAAGCTGGGTGGGCATGAGCCTGCAGGAGAAACCCCAGCTCACTGGAACTCCCTGTCTGGCCAAGGCTTTTAGGAGCTGTATCCCACAGGGGCTGGGCTGAGAGGGAGATGTGCCTTCTCTTGGAAGCCTCCGCATCCCCAGATGAGCCCTCCCTAGAGATGGGACTACCAACTGTCCAAGACCTTGTTCATTACTTATCTTCAAAATGTACCTCTTCTTAACGAAGGAATGTCTTTGGCACTGAGTTTTTTTGTTACAACCTGTTTCTTAAAATCAAAATAATTGGGGTTGATTTTATCAACCAATTTTCATAATTTATTAATTTTTATCTGATTTTTCTCAGTTTAGCTAAAGAAAAATTCAAGTTTGTATCTATGTTCAAAATATTTCTTCTATGAAGCCTGGGCAACATAGAAAGACCCAATCTTGGCCGGGCACGGTGGCTCAAGCCTGTAATCCCAGCACTTTGGGAGGCCGAGGCGGGTGGATCACGAGGTCAAGAGATCGAGACCATCCTGGTCAACATGGTGAAACCCCATCTCTACTAAAAATACAAAAAATTAGCTGGGCATGGTGGCGCGTGCCTGTAATCCCAGCTACTCAGGAGGCTGAGGCAGGAGAATTGCCTGAACCCAGGAGGCGGAGGTTGCGGTGAGCCGAGATCGCGCCATTGCACTCCAGCGTGGGTAACAAGAGCGAAACTCCGTCTCAAAAAAAAAAGACCCTATCTCTACAAAAAATTAAATAAATACCCAGACATGGTGGTATGCACATGCAATCTCAGCTACTCAGGAGGCTGAGGTGGGAGGATCACTTGAGTCCAGGAGTTCGAGGCTGTAGTGAGCTAAGTTCGTGCCGCTGCACTCCAGCCTGGATAACAGAGCAAGACCTCACCTCTAAAATATACTAAAAAGGGGGAAAAAATAACTGTTGGAAAACAATGAAATTGTCAATGACTTCAGGTTTCCTTAAAAACATGTCTCCTGTGAGATTAAGTGAATCATCCATCTATTCTAAGACCTATTGATGCCTTTGAGGGATGCTTACAGCCGCACTGCCATTAATGACTGTCAATATTGCTAAACAGCAGGTCACCGTCTTCTAGAATTTGTATCAGTTTATCACATGTAATCACACATAGATGGTTTGCACTTGGAAAACAAAGTCAAGAACTGTCCTGAAAGCATCCGTGCAACTGCGAGCCTTGTGGCTTAAATGTCCCCGGCATCACAGCAGACCTGCCCATAAACCATAGAAAGGGTTTGTCCCAGCCTCCCAGAGGTCATTTCATCTACCCTTCAAGACACCCACCTCACAGCCATGAACATGGATGAAGCCCGGGGAACTGGGGTCATGACATGATCATGTGATAGGAGGAGAGCGTGAGGAAAGAGCATTGGATTCCGGGCTGCATGAATTTGGACAATGGTTTTCATATGTGACTGTATGTTCACTCTTCTCTAAAGTAGTATTCATAATACGAGCCCTCTCTACCTCACAGAGGTAGGAACCAACTTGTAAAACATCTGGAAAATGACTTTACAAACTAGAAAGCACTTCTTGAAAGTAATGTCTTTTGTTCATAAAATCGTGCATTCCCTAAATATGCATGGAGCACTGACTACATGCTAGGTACTGCTGCAGCATTGGAGATAGAGCAGTAAACAAATATGACTCTCTCTTTAAGAGAAAACATGTGGCCTGGTGCAATGGCTCACACCTGTAATCCCAGTACTTTGGGAGGCCAAGATCAGGGGATCACGAAGTCAGGAGATCGAAACCATCCTGGCTAACACAGTGAAACCTAGTCTCTACTAAAAAAAATACGAAAAATTATCCAGGCATGGTGGCATGTGCATGGAGTCCCAGCTACTTGGGAGGCTGAGGCAGGAGAATTGCTTGAACCTGGGAGGCGGAGGTTGCACTGAGCCGAGATTGCACCACTGCACTCCAGCCTGGGCAACAGAGCAAGACTCCAGCTCAAAGAAAAATAAAAAAGAGATAAGCTGGCCTTTAAGCTGAATAGCCGTTGGGACAGCAGTCAGTCTCCAAGATGTCCCTCAGGTACCCCACCTCCTATCATTGTCCCAACCACACTGAATTGGGGCTGACCTATGCACGAGAATATGGTAGAGCCGGCAGTCTATGACTTCCAAGCCTGGGCCATAAAAGACATTGCTGCCTCATCTTTGGCCTCCTGGACTACTCGCTCTGGGAATTCAGCCACCATGTCACGTGGACGCTCAAGAAGCCAGCACGAGGCTGGCAAGGAGAAATGCAGTGTTCTCTCAGCAACCAGCACCAAAATGCAGGCAAATATTACCTTAGAAGTAAATCTTCCAGCACCAGACAAGCCTCAGACAGCTGCAGTCTAGCTCACATCTTGAGTACAACCTCCCAAGAGACCTCAAGCCACAGCTGCCAGCTAAACCACTTCTTCATATCTGACCCATACTATAAGAAATAAACATTTGTTCTTATTCTAAGCCATTACATTTTGAGGTAAGTTGCTATGCAGCAATATATAACTAATACATTTCATCACACAATTCTTCCAGAAGGGTAAAGCAAGATAATTCCACCTTTGGTCTCTCTCTTTTTTTTTTTTTTTTTTTTAAGGCTCGTTTTATTTTAATGGCTGATCTATGTAATCACGGAGGCCAGTATGTACAGACAAAGGGGGAGCTTTTATTTCTTGGTCTCTTCCTCCTTGGAAAAGTTTTGATGATCTCCTTTTTGGCCTGGAGGCGCTCTTCACGGCGCTGGCGGGCCTCAGCCAGGTCAGCCGGGAGCTTCCTGCGGGCCTTGTCTGCCTTCAGCTTGTGGATGTGTTCCATGAGAATCCGCTTGTTTTTGAACACATTCCCCTTCACCTTCAGGTAGAGGCTGTGATACATGCGGCGATCAATTTTCTTAGGTTCCCGGTATCTACTGAGCAGCCGGCACAGAATCCTCATTCTCCTCATCCATGTGACCTTCTCTGGCCTTCGGGCATTGGCTGTACCCTTACGCTTACCTATGCCCATGTGCCTGCCCTTCCGGCGGGCCAAGGTGTTTCTCCGGCAGCGAGCCTGGGAATGGACCGTCACAGGCTTTCGGATGATCAGCCCATCTTTGATCAGTTTCCGGATCTGCTGACGAGTTAGCATTGGCGATTTCATTGGTCTCATTCGGGTCCAACCAGACCTTCTTCTTGCCACAGCGGAGGACACTAGAGGCGAGCCTCTTCTGAAGCCTGAGCATACTCGGCCCCTCTGGAGACACTATTTCCAGAACACCCAAGGGTTGATATTTGTGGTCGACAGCAATGATGGGGAGCGAGTGAGTGAGGCCCGGGAAGAGCTGATGAGGATGCTGTGCTCCTTGTTTTTGCAAACAAACAGGATCTGCCTAATGCTATGAACGCTGCTGAGATCACAGACAAGCTGGGCCTGCATTCCCTTCATCACCATAACTGGTACATTCAGGCCACCTGTGCCACCAGCGGGGATGGGCTGTACGAAGGCCTGGACTGGCTAGCCAATCAGCTCAAAAACAAGAAGTGAGAGCCAGGCAGCCCGATCCAAGTGCCCCACCCACCCCTGACATACCTACTGTCATCCTGCCCCAGTCCTACCCCTTCCTCTCCATTGCAAGTGTGGCCACCGGCCTGGGTATCGTGTCCGCGTGCCCAGCAAGAGCCTTGCCTCCCCTGCCTCCCCTCCTTTTTCCTGTCCACCTATATGACCAATCCCTAATTGCTGTCCTGATGATGAATCATTCCAATTTTACTGGATTTAAAACAAACAAAAAAAATAAACAAAATAAACTGGCATTTGTTACCTGACAATCTCCATTTGGTTGAGGAATTCCCACGGTACCAGTCATATAGTTGGTGCTCCATGATACTTAATTGTTGGATTCATGATTCTTGAGCTGGTGAGCTATGGCTCGGTGGACAGGGACGAGGTCACACAAACGTTGGCTAAGATACGGAGAGACTCCCACCGGTAGGGCCAGGGCTGGGAAAGGACGGTTTGGGGAATAGGTGATCCTAGGAATCCAGATAGACAAGCCCCTCAGAGCCTGGTGGCCAGTCAGAGCACTGCATTCCTGCAGATCCATACCTGATGGACAGTATAGATTGGAGGGAGGAAATGTTATCATGAAAAGACAGGAATTGAGGCCCAAGGGCAATACTTCAGACCAAGAGATGACTGCAAGGTGGGCGTGAGGGACAAGATAGAGGAGCCCAGTACTAGACGAAGAGGAGCCCAGTCTTGGAGGATTAGGGAGTCAATGTAGAAATGGTAAGGAATTGCAGCCCAGCTGATTTAATTCAGAAGCATTTCCAATAGAGACAATTCTTAGAGCTCCAGTGAGGTGCAAAGATTCATGTCAATTCTGGTTACAGTGATGAACATTATATAAAGAAATTGTTGACCGGGTGTGGTGGCTCATGCCTGTAATCCCATCACTTTGGAGAGCCAAGGTGGGCAGATCACAAGGTCAGGAGATCCAGACCATCCTGGCTAACACAGTGAAACCCTGGGTAAATTTTTGTATCTCTACTAAAAATACAAAAAATTACCCGGGCACGGTGGCACGTGCCTGTAGTCCCAGCTACTGGAGAGGCTGAGGCAGGAGAATCACTTAGTCATGGGAGGCGGAGGTTGCAGTGAGTGGAGATTGCACCACTGCACTCCAGCCTGGGGGACAGAGCAAGACTCCATCTCAAAAAAAAAAAAAATTGTTGTAGAAAAATTGTCCCGGGACCTGAACATTGGGGTGAGGAAGGTGGGAGGGAGGGGACAGAAGCTGACAGGGAAGAGCTCAAGACCGATCTGCACACCTTTTGGGTGATGTGTGTCCTTTTGTTGTTGTTGTTTTGTGTGTTTTGGAGAATTTACTTTATCGAAAACAGGTGAGTCAGAAGCCCATCCCTGGAGCTCAGGCCCAGGTGGGGCTGAGGGGGCAGCCAGGCTGCAGAAGGCCCAGGCTGACTCAGGGAGTGTCTGCAGGACTTCAGCTGCAGGCCCCACGGCTGTGCCCCTCAATTCTAAAGTCATGAATCCAAGAGCCAACAAGGAAGCATTGACGGGGTGCCAACTCTACAATTGGTACTATGGAAGTTCCTCAGCCAAGTGAAGATCGTCGTGACACAAATATCAGTTTGTAGTGATATGAGACTATCCTCAACCTGCAAAGGCGTCCTTCCTCTGCTGCCCTAGGTAACACTGACTCCCCCTCACCTGGCACCTGCACCCATCTAGCCAGGCACCCCTCTCACCTGTAGAGCTCCCCACAGACTTGCCTCAAAGGTGTACAGCTCTAAAGTCTGGAATTCACTTTGATTTGGGATGATGGGGCTTTAACACAGTCCTCATATTGAAATCTCGGGAGAAGCAGCCTCTCCTCAACAGCACCTCCACAGTTTTCCTTTGTGTAGTCTCTGGGTTTCTGAGATAATTAACAATATCTTCAAAACAGGTGACAACATGACAGGGATGACACCAGACTCTGAGACTCCAATGTGGAGTCAAGGCAGGAAACTTTATTGACAAAAGGAGGACTTAGTCAACACAGGAATTCTGGGGACAGTAAGATGACAAAAATTTAAAAGTAACCAAGATAAGGCCCTCACTTCCCATAAATGCCTTTGCCCTCTCTGAAAGCCATGCTCTCTAACCACAAAAGTATCACACAATGTGGAATGACAGGCCTTCCACAAACTCCATCCTATCACTTACATAGACTACTGTGGTTTTGTAGCATCTCCTAGTTTTTCAAATATATCAAAGGCCCTGATTTTCCAAGCATTCGTCCCAAAAGTAAATTCTCCAAAACAACAACAACAACAAAAGGACACACATCATCCAAAAAGTGTGCAGATCGGTCTTGAGCTCTTCCCTGTCAGCTTCTGTCCCCTCCCTCCCACCTTCCTCACCCCAATGTTCAGGTCCTGGGACAATTTTTCTACAATTTATTTTTTAGTTTTTTTTTTTTTGAGATGGAGTCTTGCTCTGTCCCCCAGGCTGGAGTGCAGTGGTGCAATCTCGGCTCACTGCAACCTCCGCCTCCCATGTCTAAGTGATTCTCCTGCCTCAGCCTCTCGAGTAGCTGGGACTACAGGCACATGCCACCGTGCCTGGGTAATTTTTTGTATTTTTAGTAGAGATACAAAAATTTACCCAGGGTTTCACTGTGTTAGCCAGGATGGGCTGGATCTCCTGACCTTGTGATCTGCCCACCTTGGCTCTCCAAAGTGATGGGATTACAAGCATGAGCCACCACACCCGGTCAACAATTTCTTTATATAATGTTCATCACTGTAACCAGAATTGACATGAATCTTTGCACCTCACTGGAGCTCTAAGAATTGTCTCTATTGGAAATGCTTCTGAATTAAATCAGCTGGGCTCCAATTCCTTACCAACCAGGCTCAGCGTAGTGTCTCCTATTGGTCAGTTTTCGTGGCTTCCTTTCCGTCTCCCCAGGGCTTTTATGATCCATGAGAAAATGGGGGCAAGACCTCTAGCTGTGGTCCACCATGGTCACTGTTAAGGTCCCTGGTCCAAGCTATGGGGTCCATTCAAAGATAGGCTGCTCCACAAATACATCCACAATCACCATGTGAAGCTCAGCCACGGGCAGAAGCCAACTCCACAGGTGCCATGGTCCTTAAGGTTCCAGGCAGCCACAGCACCCCCAGTCCTGCCATCCTCACAGAGCTCAGCGCAGGGTTGTTGGGCAAGTATTGACGGATTGGGTGGAACCCACCTTGTTTCTTTCGGCTGTCTGACCCCTGTCTCATCACCATTTCAGAAACTCAGATGCGGCTCCCAGAAGCAATGACCGTGTGACCCTGCTCATGCCATGGGCGAATAAATGTACCTTGTTTGTTGAAACAATTTGTTGCATGCTTGTTAGGCACCATCAAAGCTTAAAAGGAATAGACGATGTGGCCACTATTCCTAAAGACTTTTATTTTCTACTTAGGAAGGCATGTTCCCATGGGAAGGTTTTAGGTTAATAATAGTACAAAATAACAATGAAAGTAATGTCTCAGGACACACTGGCGCATCTCACTGGATTCGCGGGGCGATCCTGGGTGATAGGTATTACAATTTCCCATTTTGTAGGTGAGGAAACTGAGGCTACGCCATCCTCCCATAAGCCTTGCCTCTGGAGGGAGGAAGCTAACATGGGGCCAGAGGAGGTCATGCCTGGCTGTTACCCCTAGCTGTGTTGTTCCCTACCCTCTGTGACCTGAAAACTTTACAACACACATGTGCAAGCACACACACACACACACACACACACACACACACACTCCAACCCTATCCTATTGGAACATCTGACTCTGTAATGGTCTATAAAAGTTTTATTGTTCCTTCTTTTAGAAAGTTGCTACATCTCCCTAGCACTGGTGAATAATGTGGCGCTCCAGACCCTTTCTCCACCCTGTTCCTAACCACAGGGACCCAGTGGGTAATAATTCAACAGCCAGCGAGGAAGCTGCAAGAATCCCCGACAAAGCTTAGTCGGGACATTCTTCTGAGGTCACAGACCTCCAGCTGTGGGTGGTCGACCCACTGACCCTTCGGCCCCAGGCTGTCAAGGAGACAATTGCCACAGCCCATGTGAGAGGCACTGTGGTTTTCCACCCTCATCCCCCACTCTGCGGGTCAGACTCCCCAGTATATCAAATGACTTCCCACTATTTCCTGAACATAACCCCTCCCCAGGCTTGGGGGCGTGTCCTTTCCTCCTCCTGGAGGGTTCTTCTCTCAACTCATGCTTGTCAAATTACTGCTCAGACTACAAAAACTAAGCCTCAATACCACCTCCTCCTTCAATCCTGTCCCGATTTTCTCCATCCATATACGAGCTTGCCATTCTCGGAAACAGCATAAAATTACAACTGGATCATCTAAAGGTGTTCATCTCTATCTGCTTCTTACTACAGAAGCACATTTGCAGATTAGTCTTAGGGGATAGGAGTCAGAGTTCTGAGTCTGTCCAAACTCTGGCACTCTGACACATGCAAAACTGGGAAACTGAGCCACAAGACATTGATCTACAAAATGGGGTCTGATGAGGATAAAACGAGATAACAGAGAGAGCTCTTCATAAACAATAGTGGGCTTTACTCATGTTATGCTTGACCTCTCTGCCTCTGTTGGCACATCCATGAAAACAGGAGCAGTGACATGTCTCCCACCTGGATTTGCAGTGACCATTCGATGAGATCGTGTGAATAAGGCAAACTGAGCACAGTCCCCTGCCTCCATCTCTGGCCCTGTACACGTCACAGCACAGCTTGGTCTGCAGACCCCACGATCGATTTTTCACTCCGACCACGACGTTGTGCAGGATTCAGGATGGTGCTGCAAACACTCTTTCATGGGGGTGACTTTTGAAAGCTGGGCAGGAATTCCAATACTCTGCCATAATAATCATCATCATAAACAGCTGGTGGTCCCAGCATCCAGGAAATTAGTTTGCAGGGGCCAGGTCTGTGCTGTGAATGAACATGCCCCTCCCTCAGAGGGAGAGTCTGCAGAGCCTGTGTGTCTATAAAACCACAGCTAATCCTCAGAGCCAGATGAAAGAGCCAGCTTCCTGAGTGGCTAGCTGTGGCATCGGAGTCAGAAATGCCCCCCAAAAGGCAGTTTGGGGAGCATGGGCCCTAGTGCCCCACGAGCCATGTTACTGAATTGCCACTTTGATGCGGAAGGTGGGTTAAAAAATCAGCTTAGACTTTGGGTGGAGAATCTGCACCTGAGAAGAAAAGGAAGTGATAAACCATCAGAGTTGGAAGGAACCAG